GGAGGAGTGGCCTTTTTTTCTTGTTGTTAATCAAGTTGATGATAAAGCTCATTTGAAAAAATAAGCATATGACAGTAAGTAAGAAAACATTCAATAGCAGGGGGCTAGGCCAGGATTCTGCCTTTGCCAGGTATTTCCACATACTCCCAATCCTCTGTAAGTAAGCAGTGAGGCACAGGAGTATGGACCAACAGACAAATGCCAACAAACCACACAGTACTTGATGTTATAAAATGGTCAGCATCTCCCAAACAAATAAGAATACTAACAAAATATGAGTGGGAGAAATTGACAAAGTGATGATAAAATGGGAAAACGCATAGAGAATACAGTGGAGCAAAGGGAGTGAGTTTGTGGTTTATCTGGGGACTTTTGTTTGATGTGTGGAGGGACGGGGATCTCCTGAACCCCACTTTGCCAGAGTGCCTCAGGAGGCTTAAAGGTGATTGCCACCTCATTTTCCCATAACAACCTGAATTTATTAAATTATTTATAGTTGTGTTGTGCAGTATTTCGCTTAAAGAAGCATTCTGGCTAAACTGGGGTTTGAATTCACGACTTCATGCTTGCTAGGCAAGTGCTCTCCCATTGAGCCATGCCTCCAGTCCTTAAAGAAAGCATTCTCTTGCCTGAATAAACCATTAACTCAAAGGTCTACCAGAAGACACCTTATTTTAAAAGTCAATTACCTCAAGTGGTAGAGAGCTTGCCTAGCAAGTGCAAGGCCCAGAGTTCACACCCTACTACCACTCCTATCTCCCTCCAAAAAAGCCAATTACCACTTGTTAGTGATCTGTAAGACATTTTCTAATATAAAGGATGTCTTTGTCAGATAGTTGGCACAACTCAAAGACTGTTAAGAATCATTGCTCTTACTTAAAAAAAAAAGCCTCAAGAACCACAAGTCCTTTTTGAAGATTATGGAATATATTACTGTATTTTATGACTTATTTCATTTCCTAAAATAATTTTTAATAATTCCAAGCTATGTGTATGTGCTTTCAAATTATATTCCAAACCTTTATGCTTTTAGGGGTAAATATATTTAAATAGTTTTCCAGAGCTGGGATGTAGCTTAGTGCTAATAGCACTTGCACGAGGCCCTGGGTTCAATCCCAGCACCAAAAAAGAAAAGACAAAAAAAAAAATTTTTTTTTTCCAAATAAATGGGAACTTGTGAAATTGTGAGATATGGCTTTTTTTTTTTTTTTGGCCTACTGTTATTTGTTTATTTTTTTTGACAGCACTGAGGTTTGAACTCAGGGCTTTACTCTTGCTAGGCAGGCTCTACTTAAATGGCAGCCCAGCCTTTCTGTTGTTTTATTTTTCAGGTAAGGTCTTAACATTTTTGCCCAGGGCCAGTTTCAGACTGCTATCCTCCAATCTCCATTCCACCACAGCTGGGATGACAGGCACACACCACTGAGCCCAGCTTATTGACAGAGATGGGCTGGCCTCAAACCATGATCCTCCTAATCTACAGCTACCAAGTAGCTGGAATTATAGAAGTAAGCCATCACACTTGGCCTGCCCACTATTATCTGAAACATTCCAACTTCATTATTTGGTTCAGCACTTATCTACATCAATGGAAAGCAAAAATATGTAAACTATATACTTTACTAGGCCTATACTCAGTGCTCAAGAGAGGGGCACAAGATCAGTAGCTCAGACATCACAGAAGTCAAATACGACTACTAACAGCATAAAAGACCATGTGAATGTGTGGGCAGATGAACAAAATGATAGTTGGGGGAAGCATAATGATAGGCTTCTTGGGGAACGTAGGACAATGTGCATGGGTGGACATGCTGAACTATCCTCTAGAGGACACACATCTGTCAAAACGCACACAACTGTATGCAAAAAGGGCTGAGGCTTACTGTACAGAAATTACAAGTTCATTAAAACAAGGGAAATTTCTACATGTAAATGACAGCTTTGGAGATGGTGGTATATACCTATAAATGTAGCACTTGAGAGGCCGAAGCAGTAGGATCATGAGTTCAAGGCCAGACTGGGCTACACAGTAAGACCCTGTCTCAAAAAAAAAAAAGCTGGCATCACTGGCTGACTTGGGAGCTGAGACTGAGAGGGGCAAGGTTCCAGACCAGCTCAAGAAAAAAGCTAGCAAGTCCTCATTAACCAACAGCTGGACATCGTGGCAGGCACCTATCACCCCAAGCTATGTAAGAGGATGAGATCAGGAGGATCAAAATTCCAGACCAATCTGGAACAAAAAAGTTTATGAAACCCCATTTCAACAGGAAAAATCTGGGCATGGTGGCATGAGCTTGTCACCTAAGCTGTGGTGGAAGGTCATAGGTTGGAGAATCGAGGTCTGAGCCTGGCCCTGGGAAAAATTTTGAGACCCTACCTGAAAAATAAAGCACGGCTAGGCTGGGGCATGGCTCAAAAGGCAGAGTGTCCACCAAGCAAGAAGCTCTGAGGTCAAACCCTAATACCGCCTAAAGAAGAAAAAAAAAAGACAACTTGGAAAACAATTTGGTATCTTTAAAATTTGAAACACATGTGCCCTGTGACTTAGCAATTTCACTTCTAGGAACACATTTTCCAGTTATATGTTACCTATTGTAATTGAGGATACTCACTGCAACACTATTTATAGAATTTAAACACCATGTGTTCCTTAATGAAATAATTTAGTACTCACTTAGGTATACTGTTGTAAGTCTAAGATCAGGCATTACGGAATATAAACATCTAAATAAAATTATTTCTGGAAGACAAGTTGACTTTCACAGTAGGTCAACACATGATCTCTCAACCTACAATAAACTGCCTAACTACAATCTACTCAAAACAACTGCCAAGGCAGAAACAGTGGCATGCACCTGTAATCCCAGCACTTAAGAGGCTGAGGCAGGAGGACCAGGAGGTCCAGGCTATCCTGAGCTATACAGCAAGTTCAAGGACAGACTGGGTTACAGGATGAGACCCTGTCTCAAAAAAAATAAAACAAACAAGAAAAATCCAAGGGTCAAAATAACTGAATAGAGACATGGTGATCTGTTCACTGAGTTTCACCATTATCAACTCATCTTCCTGATGCTGCAGCTCATGAGAACACAGAAGTTGACAGCATGGCAGGAGTGGGTAACCACTCCACTTACCCACCATAATCTACCCTGAGTATCTGCTCATTTAACTTTTTAGCTTCTGGCTTCTAGAAATAAAGAAGACTCTATGGAAGAGAGCACAGGTTTTAATAAACAGATGTCTGACTAATGAGAGGCTGTCTCATGCCTAATAGAAATCACAAATGCCTTCAAGGAAAAGACTAAAAAATTCTAAACTTCTGTGTGGCAAAAAATAAATTTAAAATCACTATTCAATTTTTTAAACCAAATAACAAAAGGAAAAGAAATAACTTCCAACATTTGTAGATAAAGAGGCTTTAATATTCAAAGAGTTCTTGTCAATAAATAAAAAAGTAACCAAACAGAAGATGAATGAGAACATAATCATGACTTTTAAAAATAAAAAAGCAAAGCAACAAAAACAATTTTTCAATATGAACCTACAAATAAGTAGTTAAGAGGGCAGGAGAGGAGCCCTAACAATCACTGTTCATAGACCTATTTCATCCTGTCATATGTAAAGAATATGACGAGGGCTGGCAGAGTGGCTCAAGTAGTAGAGCGCCTGCCTGGCAAAAGTGTGGCCTTGAATTCAAATACCAGTACAGTCAAAAAAATAAAAATAAAAATTGACCATTCTGAAGGACAAAGCATTTTCCATATCTAAAATGTATATACCAGGGGCTAGGAGTATATGTGTAAGGCCCTGGGTTCCATCTCTAGCACTGCAAAAAAGAAAAAAAAAAGTACATGCTAGTTTGTTTCTAGGGAGTTACGCTCAAAAATACATAATCCTACAGCATAAAGATATGTGTAGATTTTCTGTTGGCATCAGTTATAATACCAAAAAATGTAAATACCTAATAACCTATCATTAGGAGATGGGAACAAGAAATTACGGTACACCCATGGAAACGTAGAGCTATTTAATCACTGAACAGAATTGAGTCACTCTGCTTATAGAGAGATGTTAACAATATACTGGTAACAACTCACTACTGCATACGGACCATTCCTGTGTGCATCATAAACCAATATGTGAACAAAGGAAACACCCTGGAGTCAGGCATGAGGGTAAGGCAAGACCAAGAGCAAGTTTGAGGCCAGCCTGAGTTATAGAGCCAGTCTCTGTCCCCAATCCCAAATACCCTGAATAACAATAGTAATTAAATACAGGTTTAGAATAAAGGAAAGGGGATGACATTCATTTTCTTCATTAAATACTCTCCTATTTGGTGTTCTGCTTCTTGTTTTTTGGAGTTGTGTTGTTACAACTTTTTGTAACAGGGTCTTTTGAGACAGGGTCTTTTTGAGACAGGGTCTCACTGTATAGCCCAGACTGACCTTGAACTCACAATACTCCTGCCTCAGCCTCCTGAATGCTGGGGTCACAGGTTTGTACCAACCACAGCTAGCTGGTATTTTGTTTTTAATGGTAAAAATGTTTTACTTTTAAAATTAGAAAATAAAGATTTTAATATACAGTTGGGACAGAAGAAAAAAAACTAAGTGACACTAAAAAGATCTATTGTTAAAATACAAAGCCAAATTCCTGCCAAAATGTAACTGTTGACTAGATTTCATAGCCACTTGGGCTAGATGACTTAAAGGCATTCAAGAATCTCAAAACATGAGCATATCGCATTAAAATACAAGTTCAACAACACTAACAATCTTAAAGCTGTACTTAAAAATACAGCCATAAAATTCATAAAAATGTGAAGTCACAAATGAATAACTGACCATGTAAATTGTTTGCCAGTGCTATTTGTTATGTTTCTAAAATTGGAAAGGCTTTTAAACTCAACCCTGAAATTTGCTTCTTCCTTATGAGGACAAGAATATTCAAGTTTCAAGATAGGGGTTTTCGCAAGACTTGAAATGCAAAGGAAAACATACCTTCTAAGAGCATTTCTGGAATGTCTGCTTGATATCTAGGACCCACTCTGATTTCACCTTTGTCAGCTAGCAGTGTTTTCACTGAGGGGTCATAGACCAATGAGTAGAAAAATGCATCCTGAAAAAAATCACAGAAAATACCTGAGTAAACAATTCCTTCTACTTTTTATAAATCAATAAAATCAATGTCAAATAATGAAACATAAGACTTCAGACTGTGTAACATTTCATTTTGGTGAATAAAGTAAAAAATCTTTACAGGGTGCATGGTGTTACTGTCATCATGTACAACAGTGTAAAATTAAATAAAAGCCAAGAGAAACAGCTTTAAATGGATTAGGAAGGTTTATTTTAGTCTAAAAAAAACTACTAATTACTCTAAAACTGAATTTTGAAAGTCTAGCAAAATTAAATCGTAACTCCAAGATGAGATGCCTAAAGTCATGTATCTACTAACTTATAAAGTCTGTATCAAATGTGGTGTCTTCAAGGATACCAGGCATTCTTATTTTAAAGCATCCATCCACATTTTATTCAGTATTAAAAGGCACACACAGCTCATACTGACTAAACTATACACATGTTGAAGTAAGATGCGGTTTATTATTATTATGTAGAAATCTAGGAATTCATTAGCTAGAATTCTGCAGTTCTTTAAATTTTTAAGCATTCAGATGTGCACAGAGATAGGCATTTAAATAGAACTAAACACAATGCATACATCAAACATTCCAATGGTCCCTTAAAAATCTCAAATGCAAGATTGGCACAGAAGCTCATAACTAATCCTAGCTACTAGAGAGGCAAGATCAGGAGAATCATGGTTCAACGCAGGCCCAGGCAAAAAGTTCATGAAACCCCATCTCAACCAATAAAAGTTAGGCATAGTCACGCACACCTGTCATCTCAACTACACGGGAGGTATAAATAGGAGAATCATGGTCCCAGAAAGCCCAGGCATAAATGCAAGACCCTATTAAAAAAAAATAACTAAAGCAAGCTAGGTGCTAGTGGCTTACGCCTGTAATACTACTACTTGGGAGGCTGGAAATCAGGAAGATTACCGTTCAAGGGCAACCTAGGCCCCATCTATCTGACCCCATCTCCAAAATAACCAGAGCAAAGTGGACTGGGAGGTGTGGCTCAAGTGGTAGAGCACCTGCTTTGCAAGTCCAAAGCCCTGAGTGCAAACTCCAGTTCAACAGAAAAATGAAAGAAAGAAAGAAAGGCAGGGCGGGGGAGAGCGGCGGGGAGGGAAACAGAGAGGGCTGGAGGTATAGCTCAAGTGGTAGAGCACCAGTCTTAGGAAGCACAAGGTCCTGAGTTCAAACCTAGTACCACCAAAAGCAAAAAATTTCAATGGTCTATAGTTACTGAGCGTAATGAATAAAATGACCTGAGTGCCAGTCCTTGACGATTTCTGCAGAGCCAGTGGTATATGAAGAGTGAGTGAAGTCCTATCTTCTGCTTCCCACTAGAATCCGGGGTTCATCTAGTGCACAATCTCTGCATTCTATCCTGGCAGGGCCTTATCTCAACCATCAATATGTCAACAAGACCAATCAAGCAAGCTGCAAATAAGAGAGCTATACCTCAGACTGTAAAGCTCTCTCTTTTTAGGGCTCTTACATAATGTGTTAAGGAAAGGAGAGGGAGGAATGAGAAATTCTTTGCTTATTTTATAACTACTATCACTATCAGAAGAAAACTGATCCCAATATGTGACATTTGAGAATATTCTACATTGTTACCTGAGAAGAAACAATCAGCAGGAATACATAAACCATCCTCAACAGAGTTAGAGGAGATGGTTACAACATACTCAGTTGTTTTGCTTTGGAGACATGAGCAATAAGGAGTACTACTCAGTAACTAAAGATACTGCCATTGGCTCACACATAAGAGAGATTTCTTAAATATAAATGTACTGCCACATGTCAGTTCCTAGCTCAAAGGTTTATAAAGGATGAAGAGGTAGAAACTCAATTGGGTAAGGGTGAAATTCCAAAGATCTTTGCTAATTTCCATCAACTATAATCTTTAGCATACAGGAAAATTTAGAAAGAAAATACTACTGACTTTTAAAAATTTCTCTCAGTCAAATCTATCAGTAAAACACACTGAACCATACTGAGTGGCCATTTTATTTCTGCTTCTCTAAACTAATGCTAATTTTTCAGCATTATCATTACCCATCATTTGGTTGTACAGACTGATGACAAAAAACTATCTTCTTTTCTAAATTTAACAAACATAAGTTGTAAAGACTATTAATCTTTTTATCTGTCTTGAATGTTTCTTTTTCTTTTTGTTTTTAATGGGTTTTCTAATGAAAAAGCTCTGCAAGTTTGTATCAAAGTTTTTGTTAAGTTTTCTTCATTTGAGATAAGAGAACAACAGGTTTAAGTATAGTGAGAAATACTTTTTTAAAAACAAATACGTCTCTTTAATTCTTAAAAAAAGTAAGCATACATTTATGCAACAAAGAACTTTGGGGGAGCTATGCCTGGTAACACACACCTGGAACCCCAGCACTCAGAAGGCTAAGGCAGAAGGATCCCAAGTTCAAGACCAGTATGGACTACAAAACAAGACCCTATCTCAAAAAAAAAAAAAAAAAAAAAAAAAAAAGAATTTGGAGGAAAAAAACATAAAACAATAAATATCAGTGACAGTAAAATATCTTTCCCATAGTACACATTTTTTTAAAGGTTGTCTAAAGTTATCCATAAACTAGCATATTCTGTTTGTAAGAATTTTCTAAGCTGGGCACCGATGGCTCACACCTGAAATCCTACCTATTCAAAAGGTAGAGGTCAGGGGGATTAGGGCTTGAAGCCAGCCTAGGCAAATAGTTCATGAGACCCTATCTTGAAAAAACACATCACAAAAAGGGACTGGTGGAGTGAGTTAAGTGGTAAGAAGTGCCTGCCTAGCAAGCATAAGGCCCTGAGTTCAAATCCCAGTGCTGCCCAAAAAACAGAATTTTCTAGATCTGGGCACTGGTAGCTCCTACCTGTAATCCTAGCTATTTGGGAGGCTGAAATTGGGAGACTAGTGGTTCAAGGTCAGCAGGACAAAATGTTTCCAGACCCCTATCTCAACCAACAACTGGGTGTGGTAGCACATGCCTGTCATTGTAGTTATGGCGGGAAGTGTAAAATATGAGGGTCAAGGTCCAAGCTGGCCTAGGCAAAACACAAGATCCTATCCCCAAAATAACCAAAGTCAAAAGGTGGGGCATAGCTCTAGTTGTAGAGCACTTACTAAGCAAGCACAATGCCCTGAGTTCAAATCCCAGTTCTACAAGAAACAAAAGAAAACAACAAGGAAGGGGAAAAGTATGGCAAAGAATTTGTTTTACAAAGCCAAAAAATTGAACTAAATCACATGCTATACTTTAAAAAACCTTATGCTAATTGATGACCAAAAAACATAGTTTTTTGCTTTTTTTTCTTTTGGTGGTACTGGGGTTTGAACTCAGGGCTGCCTGCTTGCTAGGCAGGAGCTCCACCACTTGAGCCAGGATTGCAGCCCCCAAGTTTCTGCTAACTCTTACCTCAACCAGGAAAATGCACTCTACTCATTACACTTTTACATAGCACTGCTGTAAAAGTGCAATAATACTCTAGTACAAAAAGGAAAAAAGTCAGCTGGTGCCAATGGCTCACGCTAGTAATCCTAGCTACTGAGGAGAATGAGATAGAGAGGATATTGGTTGAAGCCAGTGTGGGCAAATAGTTCCTGAGATCCCCATCTCTAAAAGTAACCAGAGCACAGTGAACTAGAAGAACATCTTAAACAGTGGAGTGCCTGCTTTCCAAGAAAGAGTAAAGCCCTGAGTTCAAAGCCCAGTCCCACCCAAAAAAAAAAAGAGGAAGAAAGAAAGTCAAAGGTGTGGGCTTCATATTAAATAATAAACAACTGTGAATTACCTCTTTATCAAGATATGACAATACTGATTCTGTCTCATTCAGTAGGGCAACACTGCATTTTCCCCTGTTGGAAAAGAGAAAAATATGAATGAATGTAAGTTATCACTTACCTTCACTGTTATGACAGTAATATTCAGAATGTGCAAATAGGATTAAAAACTAGATGGCAGTTAGAAATATATTTAAGTATTTTCAGACCTGCTTTACAGTTCTAGTGTTGGGTAACCTACAAAATAAGGTTGTCTGTAAGCATTTACAGACAGAGGTCAGTTTGTGTGAGGAATTGTACTAGGCAGCAAATTCTTACAACATACAACTTCTTATAGGTATTTCCTAATTATTCATTTGGGGAAAAAAAAGAAAGTACAATGAGGTCTTCAGACTAAGAGTCAGATTCTGAATCTATAATAGATATTAATGAGATAATTATATACAGGAGCTCTTCAGACAAAGCCTTCACCATACAAATTAGCACCTAAAATAATTTCTTCTTTTTGTTTTGTTTTTTGAGACAAGGTCTCACTATATAGCTCAAGCTGGCCAGCAACTGGTTTTGTAGCCCAGACTGGCTACAAAATCTTCCTGCCTTAGTCTCTGAAGTGCTAGAATTACAATCATGCACCACCTCACCTGGCACTCAGATTTCAAAAGCGGTCACTGCATATGAGAACCCAAAAATAATATACATTGATATCAGGATGTAACTAATTTAACTTTATTGAAACTGCTCTAGAGTTAAAATTTAAACACAAGGAACTTCTATAGAACAAGAAACACAACAAAGATCAACAAATTCATGACCTTGAGCTCTGACAGGTATGACTGGGTATGACTTTCTAAATGAAAATATATTTTTAAAAGAGAATAACTAAGATTATTCAGATAGAAGGGCTTATAATACAAGCACTTTTAAAATTATTCTCACAAACTAGAAGATTTCACTGTAGCTCCAAATTTGGCAAGAGAATTCTAAGTGCGCAGGACTCACAAAATATTTTTAAAATGTCATAATGTCATTTGATTTTTCTCAACAAAAGTCACAACAACCTCAAAAATGAACATGCAAAAACAAACACATCACATATACGTTAGGTAGGAAACAAGAAGTACTTGCTCTTGGATTACCACAGTGAACTACAATTCAAGGAAAAATATTATTGAAAACAAAATAAAATACCAAAAGTAAGATGCTAACACATTAAACAAAAGCTACAATTTTCTAAACAGTGTACAACTCTTTTTTTCTTTTCTAGTACTGAGGTTTGAACTAGGGCCTCACACTTGCTAGGCAGGTGCTCAACCACTTGAGCCACTCCAACAGCCCCACAACTTTATACTCAGTAAATTTAAAAAAAAAATTTTTCCTCTTATGAAAACATCTGTTCTTGGTAATCTTCTTAAGATAATGTCACTTAGACTTCTCATATAGTATTTCCACATTATTCTGTCAAATCTCTAATTTGGTTACGGAAGAGTTATACGGGTTTTTTGTTTCTCTTGTGTATTTTATTCATGCGTATTTGTGAAGCAGAAAAATTAACATTACTTCAGCACATGCATTGTCACTCAAAGTCAACAAATGTCTGGCATGCGCTTACAAACAGAGTAGCAACCAGGGAAATTATTCTGGTATCTATCCATGGCCGCCACAAGAGAACTCCTGCGTGCTCACACTTGGAACACACTCAAGTCATGCATAGGCTTTCTGAAGGCAGTTTTCATACCTTCAATGCTGAATCACTCATGAGGAATAAAACTTTTTTTTTTAATCCTTGGTTTTGTTTTGAGACAGGGTGTCATTATGTAGCTCAGGCTGGTCTCAAACTCACAATCCTCCTGCTTCTTCTACCTCCAGAGTGATGGAATTCTAGGTGTATAACCACATCAGGCTAATTTTTTTATTTTTTCAAAGTTCCCTACAGTCAGGGTGGCTTTTTTTTTCTTCTTCTTCTTCTTGTTTTTTAGGTAGTACTGGGGTTTGAACTTAGGGCCTCATGCTTGCTAGATAGGCACTCCAACACTTGAGCCATTCTGCCAGCCTAAAGTCAGATTTTTTGTTTGGTTTCATGGAAAATCAAATCCGGCTGTTGGCTGGGTGCCAGTGGCTCACACCTATAATCCTAGCTACTCAGGAAGCAGAGATCAGGATGATCAAGGTTTGAAGCCATCCTGGGGAAATAGTTCATGAGACCCTATATTGGAAAAAACCAACATAAAACAGGGCTGGCGGAGTGGCTCAAGTGGTGGAGTGTCCACCTAGGCTAGCAAGTGTGAGGCCCTGAGTTCAAACCCCAGGACCATAGAAAAACAACAAACAAAAAACACCTGCTATGGTTAGCTTTTCATGCGAGCAGGTGCTGGTGGCTCATGCTGGTAATTCTAGCTACTTGGGAGGATTGTGGTTCAAGGCCAGCCAGGATAAGTAGTTCATGAGACACCATCTCCAAAGTAACCAGAGCAAAATGGACTGGAAGTGTTGCTCAAACAATACAGCACCTGCTTTGCAAGCATGAGGCCCTGACTTCATACCCCAGTTCCACCAAAAAACAAAACAAACAAAACAAAAAAATCCTGCTGAATGTTGTTTTAATAAAAGATACCACTATTTTCAACAGCCATGTGAATTTTAGTGGTAAACACTGACAATTCATACAAGCGACATAAGATACTTAGAAGACTCTTTGCAGTCTGAAATGATAAAAGAAATTAAACTAAATTATCAAATCCTAATTTTCACAATTACATTAGGAGATAAGGTATCACTGGCTCTACCATTTCAGAGCACAAAATTACAAAGTTAATAAAAGGATACCTAACCCATCTAAAATATAAGCTGTTTTGGGACTCAAACTCAGAAGCAACATCTCTACCTAAAAACTGAAAATTTTTTTGCTGTACCAGACTTACTGAATCCCAGTATAATGGGGACAGATACAGGAATCCATATAATTCACATGCATCACCAGGTGATCCTTAGAGATGAACTTGAAAAAATGATATACATGTAGGCTGGACTTTAAATTGTCCTTTGTTCGACAAAAGCCATCATTTCTTCATTAAAGAAAAGTATTTTTCTCATTGACTTTATCGATTCTTTTTTTAAGACAGGATTATCTTGATATGAAGTCCAGGCTGTCCTCAAACTCCTGGGCTCAATCAAGCAATCCTCTTGCCTCAGTCTCCCAAGGAACTGGGACTACAGGCAGGTACCACTGTGCCCTGCTCTCTCCATGGATTAGAATTACAGCTGCCAGAAAATTCTTGATTCTGAATTTTTTCATGCAAAGAATAGTCTCAAAATACTACAAGCTGAGAATGGAGATTCAGTGAATACAATTTTATCTAACATTTAATCCCCTGAATACCATGAACAACCAAACAAAAAAAGATGAAGTTCAAAGACCCAAAATGCTTTCAGATTAGACTTCTCAACAGAAACACTGTTGGCACAAATGTTTAAAAGGGAAGAGCAAGCAAAGCACGGTGGCTCCAATATGTAATCCTGACCTTCATTTGACAGAGATAGGAGGTTTGAAAGTTTGAGGTCAGCCTGGGCTACATAGCAAGATTCTATCTTTAAAAAAAAAAAAAATAAGGAGTGATATCCAAACCAGAATTATATGCCTAAAGAAGTCATTAGCCAAGTAGAAGCAGTAAAAAGTTTTACATTTTACAAGATCAATCAAAAGGAAAAGGCAAAATAATTATGAATGAAAACAAAAGGTTGTAAGAGAAAGAATATGTAAAGAATATTTATATGTTCATAAAACACAAAGATTGATTAAGCTAAATAGGGACGAAAAAGGAAGTGAAATTTCTAAAATTGAAAAACTTAATTGTAGCAATAAGGATAGTAGACACAGACCAGATGTGGTTGACGCACCTCTATAATCCCAGCCCTGTGGGAGAAGTAGAGAGGAAGACTGTGGTCTGAGGTCAGCCCTAGGGAAAAAAACATGAGACTCTACCTGAAAAATAACTAAAGTAAGAAAGGGCTGAGGCCTTGGCTCGAATGATGGAGCACCTGCCTAGCAAGCGAGAGACCCTGAGTTTAAATGCCAGTACAGCACCCCCAACTCCCCCAAAAAATGGTAGATGCAGAAGTCACTTGTCAGAGGAGTTGAAAATGATTACAGAGTAGGAGCCAGAGATATGACCATCCTGGATGTTATTAGGCAGCTATATACCCAGACATGATTTTTTTAGCAATAAAATTTAAATCCATAATGAAAAGAGGAATACTAATTATATAAAAGGGCAAAGACTATTTACGATGACTCTGTATCAGGGTTTCTCAGCCTTGGCACTACTAGCCAACTTTGTGGTCAATGCTGTCCTGGGCATTGCACCATGGGTGGCAGCTGTGGTAGCAGCATCCCTGGCCTTTACTCACCGGATGACAGCAGTACCCCTCACCCAGCTAAGACAACCAAAACACTGTTCAATATCCCCTGAGAGACAGTCATCCTCAGCTGGGAACCACTGTTCTACATTATGAGGTTGAAAAGCCATGGTTTCCTTAATTATATCTTGGGGATAAATAGTTAAACTTACTTATATACTAAAAGGTATGATTTTATGGATCTTTAGATTTTAAACAGGAGGTCAAAGAGGAGAAAAAACATCTGGAGACCTTTAGATATTGCTATTCAAAGATTTCTTTTCTGTTATTGACATCAGTTTAACAGATGCTAACAAATACAAATTAAAAGGAAGCAATTTGAATATCTGTTTGAGTAGGCAGAAGGATGAAAAGCCAAGAAGAGAAGTCTGAGCCTGGGCTTAATGGATTTTTATAAAGAAAAAGGAATAGCAAGCAGTGTTTGGGAAAGTTCATTCTATCCATAGCATGTGGACAGTACTGACTTGACAACAAATATGAAAGAAACTGTCAAAAAGGATCAAAGAGGCTGCGCACTGGTGGCTCACACCTGTAATCCTAGCTACTCAGGGGACAGAGATCAGGAGGATCACAGTTCAAAGTCAGCCTGAGCAAGTAGTTTGCAAGACCCTATCTCAAAAATACCTAACACAAAAAGTGCTGGTGGAATGGCTCAAGGTATA